TCCTCCGCTAGCCAGGCTAGGGCATTCCTCACCTGCTGTACTCCGCGTAGACCGCTTAGTGTTTCTAAGCGGATGCGACGAAACTTTATTACCGGGCATGTAGTAGGACTTGACATACCTCCCAAACCTGACTCTAATTGTTAAGCTTTCAAGGGCTCTATATTGGCTCTTCATAGCTATGCCTTTTTGCTACAGACTTCCATTCTACACACCCTTAACCCAGACCACCTTTGGGGTCTGGAAAGTAGAAACCCCGATTGGTCGCCGACGACTAGTGAAGGGTCCTTTATAGGAAACCCTAAACCCTAAACCCTACCATAAACCCTAAAAGCCGAAACCGAACCCCATCAAGGGATCTATTCCCCGAGCCCAGAACCCTTTAAATCCTATAATCCCTAGAAAAGGGCCCCAGAAAAGCGCGTAAGCAAAGCCCCCTTTTCATGAAGCCCAATCAATCAGGGATATCCCCATGAAATGCTTACGTTTATGTCCTTTTCGGGTCCCCAATATAAGACCCCAAACCCGAACCAACCCCCATTGAAGGAGCCTTTAAACCCTAAAGCCTTATAGGAACCCACCCTAAACCCTAAACCCTAAACCCTAAAGCCTTATAGGAACCCTTAAACCGTAAGCCCGTGAAGAGAGCCCTTATCAAGCCCTAAACTCCTGCGGCGATCGGCTTCTGGGATCGTACGGGTCTGGTGGACTCTCGCGGGTCAAGGGTTTAGGGTTTAGGGATTTGGGGTTAAGCCCTCAATCCTAAACCCTAAACCCTAAAAACCTGAACCCACCCTAAACCCTAAACCCTACAGCCCTAAACCTTAAACCCTAAACCCACCCTAAACCCTAAACCCTTCACAAGGGTTTAGACTTGAAGGGATGGGGGGGTGGTGGGATTTAGGGGTGACCGGGGAAACTCTGAGCACCAAGAGCTGAGACTCTAAGGGCTTTAGGAGGGGCCCTTGTAGCATATCTAAGGGCTTTAGGAGGGGTTTAGGGTTTAGGGGGTTTACCGTTTAAGGTTTAGGGTTTAGGGTTTAGGATTTAAGGTTTAGGGTTTAGGGTTTAGGGGGCTTTAGGAGGGACCCTTAATAGGGACCCTTGTAGGTTATTGGGGTGAAGATGGAGACTACCTGGCTATATAAGGGGTATATAAGGACTCTACAATGGTTATTTAAGGTAAGGGGATTAAGGGTCCCCATTAGGGGTCCCTCCTAAAGTCATTAGAGAGACTCCTTCAAGTTAAAGGAAACTACAGGTGGGGAGTTTAGGGTGTTTAGGGTTTAGGGTTTAGGGTTTCAGGGTTAAGGGTTTTAGGGTTAAGGGTTTAGGGTTTTAGGGCTTTAGGGCTTTAGGGTTTTAGGGTTTTAGGGTTTTAGGGTTTAGGGTTTAGGGAAAAGGAAACTACAGGTGGGGAGTTTAGCGTATATAGGGCTTCTACAAGGCTTCTATAAGGCTATAAGGTATATAGACCTTCTGTAAGGCTCCTATAACGGTAACTAGCCACCTGAAAATGTCCTAGATCAAGGGATCCAAGAAGTAGACCCCTAAAGGGGGATTCTGCTAAAGCAGCCTTTAGTAGTAAAGGTCCCAGATTAGGTTGTCTACTTCCTCGACCCTAAAGCCTTACAAACCCGAAGCACTTAAAAAAAAACTTCCCTAAACCCTAAACCCCTAAACCCTAAACCCTAAAAGGAGTTCATGTTCTCAATCCTCCGGGTGCTTCTAGGGCCCCAACAAAGCACATAAGCAAAAATTAGGATAGGGATATCCCATATAAACCCCCTTATAATGAAGCCCAGTAAGGTAGGGATATCCCTATAACATGCTTATGCTTGTGTCCTTTTGGGGTTCCTAGCTTCACAAGAGCCAAGGGCGCGGCTCTGGACGTCAGGCCCTGAGCCGTTCTAGCTTTGGGATTTAGGGGTTTAGGGATTTAGGAGTGTAGGGGTTTAGGGATTTAAGGGTTTAGGAGTTTAGGGACTTAGGGGTTTAGGAGTTCAGGGGTTTAGGGGTTTAGGGATTTAGGAGTTTAGGGATCTAGGGGTTCAGGGATTTAGGGACTTAGGGGTTCAGGGGTTCAGGGGTTTAGGGGTTTAGGCTTTGGGATGTAAGTCCGGGTCCCAGGCCCCCGGGATCCAACAAGTAGATCCCTTAAGGCGGGTTCCTATAAAGTACCCTTTAGTAGTGTAGGGTCCCAAATTAGGGGATCTACTTTTTAGATCCTCCCGGGGGTCTGAGTTTGGGATGTAAGTCCGGGTTTAGGAGTTCAGGGCTTCCGGTTTAGGTGTTGGGAGGTGGGCTTTCGGGGTTTTAGGTTTGGGGGTTCTTGGAGGCTCCGGGGACTTAGTAAGTCGGCTATAAGTGGCTTTATTATTGGGGTAACTCCATTTAGGGTACTTATAACTCTACTTATAACCTACTTACTAAGTCCCCTGGCCTCCAACTTTGGGAAGACAAAACTATGGCATCGCTCTTTCATGTTCTCTGGAATCCATGAGAGAGTTCTACAGAAGGTTCTATGGCGCCCTGCAAGTTTTGGGATAAACGGTCGTGGGGTTGCAGGCTTTAGGGTTAGGATTTTCTCTAAGTGCCTTGAAGTAGGGATGTGAATGTGCAAGTTCAAGGCCACGCGTTTTGTTAAAAGGTCCATTGTTCACTCTAGGTAGTGCTCTGTCCGGTAGTCTTCCAGGTATAGACTTCCTGCACACAAAACAGTAAAGCTTAAACAATGTCGAAAGCTTCGAAGTGGCAGCAGCAGACTTTCTTACTGTTATCAAAGTTGTAAAACCAGAAGCCTAAACTTGCTGCCTGGCTTCTGGTCTCGAATGTAGGGTTCCAGGTTTCTAGTACAGCTCTCGTTGGGCCTACCACCTGCAGACTGAATTGCAGTACCTCTTTCTTGGCTGGCGAGTTTTCAACTTATGCTCAGGATTCCAAATGAGGAGGTAAGGTAGCCAGGAAACTAACCAACTCTCAGGGCTACAGCGAAACAAGGTACACTTACCTTAGTGACCGTATAACCGACGCGACAGCACAGACCAATATAAGGGCCTTGAATGATTAGATTAAACTAGAATAGGCTTCCTTGAGGTTCCTGGTTGTCGAAGTATAACATAATCTAGAGGCCTTAAGAATTAGAAGAGGGTTTTGAGACCCATTATACTATACTTATCATAAGGAACCCCCACACAATACCATAGGTAATTATTTAGGCCCCTATATTACCCCGAAAAATCGATTCCAAGTATGAAAGCCAACCCTAAACTCTAAACCCTAAACCCCATGCGTGCCTGGTTTGATTCCGGCGCCCCGGTATTCTGAAACTCGGGGGCGGAACTGGACCTTCTTGTTGGAAGGTCTTGCTTTTGGTTCAGACGTTTAGGGTTTAGGGGTTTAGG